TATTCTCAAATACTTCAAAAGCTTGTTCTTGGATTATCAGAAAATGCGGTGACTATGATCATAATCTTATTTTGTTTTCAAATACTCCAAAAGATTGCTGCTGGATTATCAAAATGTACATTACCTTTCATGCTACACTATTGATCCATTGGGTTGCTTGTCATTTAAGCATCACCCATGACATCTCATACAGGTCAATGAAAAAACCTCAAATCCTCCTTTTGCAGGTTCAATGTTTGATGAGATCTTTTTTCCTTTATGTAATTTTAAAATTTTCTATGACTTTGATGAGAAGTTTTGTTTAAACAAAGTGCAACAGGAAGTTGCAAGTGCTATAAGGGGCCCTTCAATAGCTAAAGTTCATTTGCTTTCTATGGCCTGCCTTGGTACATGTACAACATTGATTTTACAGTATTTTGCTTTAAGTCATTCATTTGTCAGACGATTTCACCCATTCTCCACATGATTGGAGAAAGTGAGGAACTCTTAACCACCCAATGCTGTTTGCCGATGCACTTTCAACAACAGTTCGCCCTTTAAACTCTCTAGCTAGGATTATTTGTTCTTCCAGAACAGCACTGCCTTGAACCCAAATTGCAACCATACGGTTTTGTATAGCATTTTAAAGTCGTTTAATGCCCGACGTTAACTTTAGGCATGCATGTGAAATTCAACTCTACAATACTCATGGAAGGTGGAATCCATCTTTTGTCACAAATATACAACCGTTTTACCGCTCATCATTCATCATTGTTGCTCCACACCTCCACACCTCCAGCTCATCCAAGTCCTACTCTTACCCTATCCAATAATTATGTGAAATGCAGATCCACTCAAAATACACTTAAACAACTGCAATTACTGCTAATTACAGCTAGACAAATCCATTCTAATTTGGTTTCCATGAGTGGATATATTGAGTTCTATTGCCATTTTATTTGAGAGTAGGACTGCCATCGGGTCGGGCTCTGGCTGGTCTAAGCCTGATCTGAAAAAGACCGGCCTAGCCTGGTCTGAAAGAAATGATTTTGGGCTTGGCCCAACCCAGCCCAAAAAAGGCCGAACCCAGCCTGCACCCATTTTTATATTTAAACTGTATAAAACGGCTTGGGAAAGGTGTGGAGGATATGCAGCCAGCCACCCACCATGTTTCTCTCCTCGCCTCCCAAACCACCGCCTCTCTCTCTTTTCAAAAGTTGATTTTTCTCTTTCTTCTCACTTCTCTATCTACCCCCCTAAAAAAGTCCCTATTTTCTCTCTCTGGGTTTCTTCTCCAGTAGAGAAAGCCCGTGACTGATAATGAAAAATCAAAATCTAGAGAGAGAAAGAGGACATGTGAGAGATACAAGATGGAAAATCAAGGTCTCAAATGGGTCGCTGGTTAGTTTTTTTTCTCTTCACGAGAGTTTTGAACTTTGCTGCTTCTCGTAACCGAAAGTCACTCTCCCTCAATTGACTACGATATGAGTTATTTCTCCCTTACTCTATCACTTACCCTTAGTGGGCCTAGCTATCTGACATGGAAAGGAAAGGAATTGATTTTAACCCCTATCTATAAAGATTAGAAGGGCTTGGCTTCCTTAACTTACTGCCTTCTTGTAACTCGCTACAAAAAGAGTTTCCCTTGAGGAGAGATTTCTCTTTGATCGGCTAAGCCGAAAGACAGATCTCATCACATCACTTGCTTTCTCTAAACTATATAAACTGACGGGCGATATTGAAAGAGGGAATTCTCTAATTCGATAGCACTGGACTTGCTTAACGCACTACTAGCTTTGAGTTCCAACTTCAAAGCTCTTATAAGTTCAAACCAAAAAACAAAGCGCATTGTCGGTTTCAGTTATTCGCCTTTTATAAATGAGTGTTGTGTACTAATGGACTTGCTTACCGTAACTGCAAAGAAAGAACGGTTCTATCTACGGTGCTGGAGCGTCTTTCGAACGGTAGTTGTTACGACTTTGCTCCCGAAAAGATAGAGTTGACTCTGATCCACTAACATCCACTCTCGGAAGGAATTGCGTCACTTACCACTTGCTACTCGGAACCTGTTAACAAGAACTTTCTTTCTCTCATGCCCTTGACCTCAAGCTTGACAAAGATAGAATGTTTCACTTGTCCTACCGCTTTCATTGCCCGTAAAGAGTCTATTTCTACAGCCGCCTTCTCTTTCAACATAGGCCATCCACTTTCCCGTAGTCAAGGAGTGTCGGTATTCATTCTGACTTCCTCTCGCAAAGGAACAAGATCTGGATTTGATTACGGCAAGCGCAGTTGACTATGTGAGTGGAGAGATTTTTGTAAGCTAATAGCAAGTGGACTTTGTCCCTCCCAATGTTGGGCTGAACAAGTTTACTCCGCTTGCACTTGAGCTTGGAGCCGAAAGGGCATGTCCCAATCTCAAAGCTACAAGAAAGCTGAGATTACAACTGCTACTTGCCCAATAGTACAACACCTTCCTCCTTGACTTGAGTTTCCTAGCTATTGAGCCCCACTTCAAACCCTTGCCAGAAGGGTGAAAGGAAAGATTTTATGTGATCCTGTTTGAATACCGATAAAAGAGAAAGCTTTAGCAATGGGAGGAGGAATTCCATACTCCAGCACCTGACGAGCTTACTTGAACCTTCTCCCGCAACAAGAAGAGTTTGACTTGGAGAAGTTCATGATATGAAGAACCTTTAGATGAAGAACACCCTACTTAGTTTCTAGCTAGATGAGGAGTCTTTCTTATGGGTCCCTGGTTTTTCTCTACCATGTTTATGAGAGACAAATACAAGATGAGGAAGGAGCATACAGTAAAAGGGAGAAAGGATCATGCAGGCCCACTGCTCCCTCTCTCTTCTTCCCTCACCCTATCTCTGTTTAACTCCCCCAAAAGTCTCTCTCTCTCATCTCTCTCTTCTCTCTCTTGAAAGTTGAAACCACACCATTAAATTGTTAGGGAAACCCACCCATTCAAAACCCCCAAAACTATAATTTCGACTCTTTGCAAGCTAACTGCTGCATAAAATAACCCCACATTCAATGCACCTTTCGCCCTACAATCTATGTTTAACTCCTCTCTTCTCTCTGTTCATATTCATTCATGTTTGCTTTTCCTAAAGCAAGCGAAACTTCTCCTAAAAACGATGGGCATTTCATCTACTTTTCTCTCTATTTCCAGTATGTTACCCCATCCATGGGAGAGAAAAGCGAAACCGATAAAATCTCAGACCCCAACTTCACAAAATGGCCAACAAAGAGAAACCTCCATGGAAGTTGTAGAGAACTCAAGGTCGTCTAACAGCGAAAACAAGGTAGTTCCCTGCCTTTTTTGCACAAGAATGTTTTAAAACTTTTCTCAAGCACTTGGTGGCTAGCAAAGTTCTCACAAGAAGAGAACAACTGCTAGAAAAGCTCAGTGAGCGACGCTTACAGAGGGAGAGGGGTAGAGATGATGTTAAGGAGGTTGGGCTTTCGGGCTGACACAACCCAACTCGAGAAAAACAGGCTCTTTTATAACCGGATCGAATTTGGCCTAAAGCCCGAAACCAGCCCGAATCTTGGCCCGCCTTGAAAGTCCATGGGCCAGCCAAGTCCATTGGCAGTCTTATTTGGGAGAGAAACATGGCAATTGTTCTGACCATTATGGGCTTCTTAAAGATTTGTGATTTGTGATTTGTGATTTGTGAGTATGCTTTTCTCTCACTATATGTCATTAAAGTTTAAGATATCAACCATCATGTGCATCATAAATGTGTGAAACACATCGAAGTGGATTGCCTTTTGCTTCAAGTGAATGTTAATGAGCATAATGCCCCATATCTTTATGGCCTCCTGCAAATCATCATCATCATGCAAGCCTTATCCCAGTGATTTGGGGTCGGCTACATGAATCTTGTTCCTCCATTCTAATAGATTTAGGATTTATGATAAGATGTGGTAAAGTTTTACGTTGGCTGCCTACCTAATGCAAACACACCTCCTTTGGGCTTGGGATGGGTTAAGGGAAAGTTTAAGGTCCTCACTCTTATTATGGCCTCCTTTTGCAAATCTATGACAAAAATTTATGCTCACCATGTCGGTTTGAGAGTGAATGTGTTCTTTCATTAGATCACTGATGGGCTTATTTGAGCTTTTTTGACCTACTAGATTAGATTAATTATCTGCCGAAGGGGGATTCGATATAGTATTTTTAATCATGAAAAGAAGGTTCTCATAGAAATTTATTGTGTTCTAATTGATGAATTTAACATGACTGTGGTGTAACAGAACAAATGAGGCGCTTTTTTTTGCCCTCATATTAGCACATGCAAATCTTGTTGGGAATTTAATATTCTTTTCTTCACATGACAAATATGATATTATGATATTTTTTTTATCCGCAACTACAATTTTTTAGATAACTTCAGAGTGCTTCTGTTATCAAGGACCAATGCACTACATGAAGTTTCTCCTTCACTTTTACCTTCACAAAAGTAGGCGTTTTTTGATAAATGCCCATACAACCCAATTCTTACACCATTTTGGAACATGAGCACTAGGGTTTCAGTTCAATTTTTTTTTGTGTTTTTTAAAGAAGCGTCAGTTCTGGTCTCTCTCTCCATGTCATTGTTTTGCATCGCATTTCTGGGGAGAGGATTTCTTTGCCCTCCATTTGCAACTCATGGCAACCCTTAAAAGATGAACTAAGCATACGGCTGAATCATTTCTGTTGATGATTGTTTCGCTTGCTTTCTGCAAAGCTATAACGTGAGCATTATGGGTTCCACAGGTTTTAATGTAGACTTGGTATGAGATTTATGATGGCTATTGCACGTTTAGAATTATTAATTTAGCATTAGTATTTTCTTCGTTGTTGTGTGGGTGTCTGTGCAATTCATGTGCAGAAACATACATTCTAATTATGCATTCCTTCTTCGGCTGGTGTTGTATGTTCTTTGTAGTTCTTGACAGTGTGTGTGTCCTTCTTCGGCTGGTGTTGTATGTTCTTTGTAGTTCTTGACAGTGTGTGTGTCTTGTAGGTTCGATCAATGTGCAGTCTCTCCCCTGTCTTTAAAAGGAGTAAAATCAGCCGGATATGAAAGAATGACTATTGTGCAAGAGGCAACTCTTCCCGCTATTCTAAAAGGTAGTGTTTGTGCTGGGTATTTGTAAATATGTGATGAGGCTCACTTGATTCTCATAAGACTGACCAAGTAGATTAAGTCAAATCTCTAGTTTAACCTACTTTCTGTCATTCTTATATGTTACAAGTTGATAGGACATAGTTGTTTAGACTGGACCTGTGTGGGTAGAAAATTTAAAAAAACAGAAAACTCAGGACAAAAATGGAAAAATAGAGAAAATTATGGAAAAATAGAAAATATAGAAAATATAGAAAATTTAGAAATAATTAAAAAACTATTAGAAACAAAAATAACCCATTAAGCAATAATTCAGTACGCATTAATAATCAATAAATTGAATAACTATTGAAGGCACAAAACCTAAATCCATATCCCATAGGCCCAAAAAAGTACAAGTTAACAACTAATTCAATACTGATTAGCAATGAAACAAGTAAAAAGCCAATGGTTTTAGACCTCGGCTCATCCGCAGAACACCGTTGCCGCCTGGCTGAGTTATTCGGGTGAGTCCGAGTCGACTTGCCCCAGTCCGGTTGAGCTTGAAAATGTCCAAGAAAAGTTATAGAAAATAAGGAAAATCCATAAAAATCTGTTAAAATGGGGAAAAAGCAAAGAGAATGATAACCAATAGAAAATGTGTATAAGAGATGAGTAAAAGTTTTCGGAAGTTATAAAAAAAGGACACTGCTTAAAGATCATTTTCTCAAAGAAATGAAAAATTATAATAAAATTAGAAAATAAAAAAATAAAAACCCTACAAAGTATAAACATAACTAAATATGTCATGTGTTGTCTTTGATTTCATCAAAGATGAAGTCAAATGATAAATGAACTATAGTTCTTAATATAAAATTTATGTTAATTATGTACCCCAACTTTGGAGGGACTCAGGCAAGCTAAGGTTACTCGGGTGAGTTCGAGTTGCTCCCCTAAGTTTTAACACATTGCGGATAACTATTGAAGATACGAAACAGACGTCCACATCCCATAGGCCTAAAAAACATACAAATCCCCAACTAACTCAATACTTATTAATAATGAAAAAGGTTGAACAACTAATAGAGACAAAAAAAAATATTTGGAAATAAATGAAAGCAGTAAGTTAGTTCATATTAACAATGAATGCAAGCAACATCCCAAAGCAATTATTCAGAAAAAAATTCATTATTTGTAAGAGCCCTAAAAAAACTGATTATTTTTTTTTCAGTTTAGAGAGAGAGAGTCACGAAACGACCATTCTATTGCTAAAAATATTTTGTAACCTAAAAAGTGTTTGAAAATGACTAAATAATATGCCCTGTAATGAACTCAAAAGGCCAAAGAAAAGTTGGTTAAAATATTTTAAATATTCAAAAAAAGAAAAGAAAAAGAAATCATAGTTTTCTGCCTTCAATTGGGACTGGCCAGTTTGGTGTTGGACTGGTGCATTGGCTAGTCCACTAGGCCAACCCTGGTTTGATGGACCTGCCGGTCTAGGGGGAGGATCAATCAAGCCAGGCCTCACCAGTTTTTGGTCCGAACCGGCTGGTCTGGTCTGGTCTAAACATCACGGAATAAGATTTGCACTGATCTAATCGTGGGTGACCCAATGGAGCAAAGTTCGAGTCTCAAGTTCTCATACTGAGTCCCAATGCCCTTGTGAATGAAAGGTGTTCTTATACACCTCTCTTATTCACAAGGCTTTGAAACATTTGGGATCAGTTGGTTTTCTATTGCCCTATTACCTCTAAGGAACAGGCCCTTTACTCTTCCCCTATAGTATCCTGATTGTTGACTGGAATATGTATTTGAATTGTTTGCCACTTTATTATTTGTGAAATCTGTATAATATATTACTTGTTTAGGTTAATGCAGCGTTATGACATATGAACATTTGGATTCCAATGCTAATTGGCCTGATTCACTATTTCTTAATTGGCAATCCATTATACATGAAAAACATATCAAATTGGTTTGCTTATTTTTGGAGAGAAGTTCGTTATTCATATACAATGACAGCCTGGTTGTGTCTTCACCTCCATGCCATTGATTTGCAGCCCATTGATTGGGGCATGCAATCAATGGCTGAGATGGCCTGCCCAGAAATCAATTGCAAACACCTGGGCTGTCATCTCACTGGATTGCTCCATCTTTTATGTTTTCTGTGAGATATTTACTGTTATTTTCTAAATGGGAAGCCTAAAGAAAACCAAGCACTGACCATGCTCAATCTTACTGATTCAGGAAAGGATGTTCTAGCCAAGGCAAGGACAGGCACTGGAAAGACAGTAGCATTTTTGGTAAAGTCCATGTTCTGCTGCCTGCTTTATTTGAGCATCATGGCTACCAAATTGATTTATCATCATTTTGTGCATAAAATTGAAATGAAAAGGTCACACTTAATTTCAGCTTCCGGCAATCGAGTTAATTGTAAAGCAACCCCCAGTTGATCGTGATGAAAGGAGGCCTCCCATTAATGTGCTTGTGATTTGTCCTACCCGAGAGCTTGCTAGTCAAGCTGCAGCAGAGGCTGATAAATTATTGAAATATCATCCTCATATTGGTGTACAAGTTGTCATTGGAGGCACTAGGCTGCCTCTAGAGCAGAAGCGGCTACAAGCAAATCCTTGCCAGGTTTTTTTTATCTTTCTTTTGGTTAATTAGAGGAGTAAGAAGCGGCTACAAGCACTGTTATAGCTGTATTTATGTTTTTTCGTCGGAAGCTTCTGTTTATGGTGTGTTTTTCTATTCTCTTGTTATTAATCATGTTTTCATAGTTTCAGGAGAAAGTTAATACTCTTTTATCCCTTCTCTTATGCTTCCTCATTGGCTTTTCAAATTACCAAAGCAACTCAATCATTGGATAGTCAGCTTGTAAATATAAACTCCCACCTTTAATGCAAAGTCCTGCGAAATAATTTATTTTGTCCTGTGATCATTTTAACTTTTCTTTGAAGTGTAGAACAAAATATCGGACCGATGTGCCTGAGGCCTGTATGGGTAGTTTGTAAGTTTTGTTGTCTCATTTAGAATGTCAAAATTTTGGAACGTGTTCCATATGCAGAGAATTTCACTCTAGGTTATGTTTGTTTTAAATGTGGCTTTCACTCTAGGATATGTTGTGGTCTGCTTTTTGCTGTTTCTCTTTACAGTTTTCTGCCTTCTACTTGTCTTTGTTCATTTTCTCTTTTGATATTACTTTTGCAATTCCTTTTTAGAGATTATGTGCATTGCTCATCTAAAGACAGAAAGATTGTATGCATTGCTGCATTGTACATTGCACATCAAATGTAATGTTGATGTAAATTTTCTACCACTACCAGATGGCTCCCTCCCACATTATCTATTTTGCGATTATCACTCTCTGCAAATATTAAATATGCAGATTTTGGTGGCTACACCAGGAAGGCTCAGGGATCATATAGAAAATACATCTGGATTTTCTTCAAGATTATTGGGCGTGAAAGTGCTTGTACTTGATGAAGCCGACCATTTATTGGACATGGGATTCCGAAGAGATATAGAAAGGATCATAGCCTCTGTTCCTAAACAACGACAAACACTGCTATTCTCTGCTACAGTTCCAGAGGAGGTTATATGATATGCATCTCTTAGTCAACACAGTTTTTCGACCTTTTTCTTGTGGCAAGTAACTTTAACATGTCCATTGCTTGCAGGTCCGCCAAATATGTCATATTGCTTTGAGAAGGGACCATGAATTTATCAACACTGTTGAAGAGGGTAGTGAAGAAACACATTCACAGGTCTTAATATTTGGTCATTAACTGACGTAAAATACTCTTATGCGTTTATTTTTGTATTCTGAATTGCTGTGTTTCATTTTGATAATGAAGGTAAGGCAAGCTCACCTGGTTGCTCCTCTCGATAAACATTTCCCAATACTGTATTGTCTCCTAAAGGAGCACATTGCAGAGGATGTTGATTATAAGGTTAGCAAAATTTTACCATAGTTGCAGAGTTACCTTTAAATTCTTGTTTCCATAACTTCTGCTTCATGTGAAAATTGTAGGTTCTTGTATTTTGTACGACCGCAATGGTTACAAGGCTTGTTGCTGAGCTACTTTCTGAGTTGAAGCTAAATGTACGGGAGATCCACTCTAGAAAGACACAGAGTTACCGAACAAGGGTGTCCGATGAGTTTAGAAAATCAAAAGGTCTTATCCTTGTAACTTCTGATGTATCTGCTAGAGGGGTTGATTACCCAGATGTCACTCTTGTCATACAGGTGATGCAGTGTATTCTTTCTTCTGTTATTTTGGTTAGTACAAGTACTCATACAGCCATGTGTGCGCTCCAGTGAGAAAAGCATTTGAGAATCTCACTGAATTTTAAAAGAAAGAATCCAAATGAATGTACATATGATACAAAAACACACACCCACACGCACACCCTGCACACATATTCACATATCACACACACGCGTGCACACACACACATATATATGTTATGTGTCTATATCAAATGGCTAACTTTCACTCCTGTCTCACTAGAATGGTAGACATCTCAAAATTCCTTTATCTTGAAATTGTCTTCTGGAATAGTCTCTAATATCACTCTCCCCTCTATTCTTCTACTTCCAAACTTCTCTTTCAGTTATCTCTCTTGTCTCTCTATTCTCCCTTCTCTTTGGTGATATCTGACATATGCAGAAGGAGAAAGGCTAAAACAATGAAAAGTAAAAGTGAAAGGTGAGAAATCATGCCCTTTCTCAGAGCTTGCAAACGAATGCACTCCGACAACTCTTCTTCTGTCTTTAAAACAAGAACTCATCTCTGTATTTACAAAATACAATATGTATATTTATGTGAAAAGAATCTCATTGCTATTTTGACTCTTCAAGAAACCTAATTACAATTAAATTTTATCCCTTCATCTTCCCATATATTAGCCATGATAAAGATACCCCTAATATATCTATGACAACAAAAGATACAAAGACTCTAAATCTCTATAACCAAAAAGGCCAAACTGACCTTAATTTCAAATGTCTAGAAATCCAAAAATAAGCCCTAACTGCATCATTTTCTTAGGGTTGGGAGAACTACTACCTCAAGGTTGTTGAGTTCCTCATATCCTTCAGATGGTTCTTCAGTAGTGGTGATGGAGACCCACCATTCATCTAGGCTTTTTCTCCACTTTAATCAATCAACTAATAGAATACTTAATGTAGAATTTGCAGTTGGACTGTGTAATATTGAGCATAATCTCAACTTATTTTTTTGTGCTCAAAGGATTGTACTTCACATGACGCAACCTAATTTTCTTTTGGAATTTGTGGGGGTTTTGTGTTGATGTCCTAATTATGATTTGATGTTCGATCTATTGAATTAACATTGACCTCTTAATCACAAAAAATATTCTTCTAATTGTTCCAACTGTAGATCTAATTTATCGATTCTCCTTGAAGTTATCCAACCTGTAATAAAAAATCTTCTCTCAAACTCTTCATGTTTTGATTCAGATTCACCTTGAGTTGTTGATACAGATCTCCATGAACTGTTGCAATATATCCTAGATTTTAGGACCAGTCTTTGGTGCCATTGTGATGTTCGGATCTTTTGAAGCTCGATTGCCTACTAGTGCGGACAGAGAAAGCTAAAACAATTTGAAAAAATAAAAGTGAAAGGTGAGAGTTTATGCTCTCTCTCAAAGCTTTTAAAGGAATAACCCCACATCCCCCTCCTCACCCCCCCCCCCCCCCTCGCCAACCCCCAAAAACTCTTTAAGAGTCTAAAAAGAACCAACTTGCCTATTTATCACAATGTTTTAAAAAACGGCCTGCCTGGCGCCTAGGCGGCCTAGACCAAAAATCCGCCCGCTTAGACGTAAGTGGCCCTACACGGGCGGATGTATCTGGGCGGGCACCTAGGCGATCTATGCGTTTCTTGTTTTTTTAAAACTACGGGGCGCTCGAGGTTCTGAGCACCGGGCAGGCCGCTTAGGTGCCGCCTAGCGTTTTTTGAAACCTTGATTTATTGATAAAACACAATACATATATTTATAAATGACTACCAAAAAGCCAAATCACTATTTGATCAAAGTAAAAGGTGAGAGATTATCCCCCCTCCCCCCCCAAAAAAAAAAAAAAAAAAACTCTTTAGGAGTCTAAAAAGAACAAACTCGTCTATTTATCAATAAAACACAATACATATATTTATAAAATAACTACCAAAAAGCCTGATCACTATTTGATCATGGCTCTTCATCTTGCCAATTGTTATATATTAGCCATGACAAGAATACCCCAATCATTCTCCACCAACAAAAAGATCATATTAACCCTAATTTCAAACTTCTAGAAATGCAAAACATAATGCATTGTGGAGGGGGAAGGCAAATAACACCTCAAAAAAAAAAAAGGAAAGAAAGATTGAACGTTTAGGCTCCCTCTCCGAGCCTGCAAGCGAATCCATCCCAAAAGTTCTTCACAAGTATCACAAACCAATTACTCTTTCCCCTTCATCTTAAAAAGGTTGTATAATTTAGAAGAAAAGCATTAAAATTTTAACTTGACTCCCAAGAATACCGAACCCTAAATTCTTATTCCTATTTACCCCTAAAATTTATCCAATAATTAATGACTGAAACAACCATATGAAGAAGGGGGGGGGGGGACTAATTCCTTTAGTGCATCACCCCTAGTATTAGGATTGATTGAGTGAAGTTTTCAAATGCTTGGGATTTTGGCTGTTGTTGCATTTTACCACTCTACTAAGGAGTTTTTGTTGTATTCACTATTTGGCGAATTTCATTAAAAAGGATCATTGTATTTGTCATTTAACCCCCTTTGCCTACCTTCCATTGAACCTCCATTCACTGCAATGAGGCGTCTTCCCTTTAGATCTTAATGATCTAGGAGCTATGTCACATTGTGCGAGACTTGATCTTGGTGATACAACATACTATTTTTTTTTCAGCAGTTTCTACAAAATCAGACATAGCTCCCTCCTGGGCAAGTGGCAGTGGAAATTCTCCTCCCCCCACCCCCACCTACGGAAACGGATAATTCCTGCGAAATATCTTGAGTGGTTACCCAGAACCCCTCCTCAGGTCTTCGGGTGCCTGGAAAGGTATCTTATTCACTAGGCAGGCTTTCCTTACTCGCATTAGGATTAGATTAAGCCATGGTCTTCGAATCAAATTTTGGTCCGACCTTTGGCTAGGATCGACCCCGTTGTCTCAAGCCTATCCCTCTCTTTGTCTCTTAGCCCGTGACCAAGAAGCTTCATTCGCAGACTGTCACTTTCAGTGGTTGTAACCTGGTTTGGGCTCTTTTTTAGGAGAGACCTCTCAGACAATGAGACCAACTTCCTCGTATCCCTTCTCCGTACACTTCACCCTATCTTTAGCACCCTTTCTTCTCAAGATTCTCTAATTTGGTCCTCGCTCCCTCGGGCCTCTTCGCTGTATCTTCATTCTATACCTCCCTTCTTCCCACCTTACCCCACTGCCCAATCATAAATAAATGCTGGTCTCTCCCAATCCCACACAAAGTTCAGGCCTTTATCTGGGTCTTACTTCGAGGGAAAACCCTAACACTGGACTACTGCTTCCCCAACAAATGTATGCTGTGTCTTCAGGAAGAGGAGTCAATCCCATACCTATTCATCCATTGCAAGGTAGCTCTAATTTTATGTTCCTCCCTCTGAAACCTTTTTGGGCTTAGATGAGTTTCTCCACCAAATTTGCTTAACCTTTTTCAGTCCTTCTCTCCACCGTTCTCGTCCAATGGGAAAAAACTTTGGCATCTCTTAGTGTCGGCTCTGCTTTGGAGTTTGTGGCTTGAGAGAAACTCAAGAACCTTCAAGGGCATCTCGAAAACCACCCAAACAGTATTCCAATCAATCACTGTTCTCATCTCCACATGGACCATATCCATCCCAATCGTTGCTGCTCTACCAATTGCGAACTTTCTTAACAACTGGGATAGCCTTCTCTATCTCTCAACCCACTCACAAACTGGGATAGCCTCCTCTATCTCTCAACCTACTCACAGAGACCTAGACCCCAATGGACACCCCCCCAGATACTTGAAACTCGACATCGATTGGTCCTCCCTAGGTAACCTAGGCCCATCAGGCATTGGAGGACTCATATTTGACTCTTCCTCTACCCTTTTGACCTTCTCTGAATTCTTAGGTCACTATGATTCCACCTACCCAGAGGCAAAGGCACTGTTAGAAGGCCTCAAAAGGGTTGCTTTTATGGGGATAAATTCCCTTGGGATTATAGTAGAGTTTGACTCAAGCAACACAATCTTTTGGGCTACCCAGCAGAAGCAGCCCGCCCCCCTGAAAGCAATGGTTTGAAATAATGGAATTAAAAAATATATTTCTAACCGACAAGATTGTAGCGGGGTTAGGTAGAGGAACAATTGATAATATTGCCCCTCTACCAAAACCCCTTATTACAAGCCATTGCTTTCAGCCAAATTTGGGTAATTGAAATACCGTTATTTCCATGTACCTTGTAAACAATATAAATTTTGTCAATGTTCCAAAAAACATTGGGCCCGCCTAGGCCTGGGTGATGTGCCTAGGCCTGTCTATGCGGCCGCCTAGGCGCTGGTGGGCCATTTTTTGGAACTATGAATTTTATAAATATGGGTATTTTGGATACCTTTATTTCACTAGGTTACTTATATTTGAATAAAGCAGGTGAATTGTGGATAAATATGTGAAATTACGAAATTATCCATATAATTTATATTTGAATTTAAAAATAGAAAAGCTGAGTGCAGGAAATATAGGGATTTGAAATATCCTTATTTTACTACATATTTGAAAGGTATCCATGACATATGGGTACTTCAAATATCTGAATTTTCCTTAAAGGATAAAAAAAAAGTGCAAAAGATATGGTATTTTTTAAATACCCTTATTTCATTATTTATTATAAAGCACCCTATGAAATATTGGTATTTGAATTATCTGTATTTCATAAAATACTTTGTTTTGAAAAAGCAAGTGGTTTTCGTGGAGGGGCAATATTATCAAGTGTCCTTCCAACATAAAAAAGTGCAAAAGATATGGGTATTTTTAAATACCCTTATTTCACTATTTATTATAAAGCACCCTATGAAATATTGGTATTTGAATTATCTATATTTCATAAGATACTTTGTTTTGAAAAAGCAAGTGGTTTTCGTGGAGGGGCAATATTATCAAGTGTCCTTCCAACATGGGTTACAGATAGCTTGTGCCATGAACTTGGAGACAAGATAGATTGCTTTGGTCTTAGAAAAAGTCACCAAGGATATATTCTCTTCAAAAGCCCAAAAAAGAACATTTTTGTGCACCTGTGTAAATGAAAATGACTCCCATAAGGTTATAGTGCTTGAGTCCAGGAATAACACTTTAATCCTGAGTTTAAGAGAACGTACTAAGAGGTTAAATTTTTTCCCTTGAGGGACTTTCGGAAAAAGAAAGAAGTGAGTAGTCTTATCCTGAACCCAATGGGTAAAGGACACTTGCACTGAAAAAGGTTATGATTGCTTCATAATATCTTTCACTCAATTCAACAGAATTCCTAAAAAATTGGGGGATAAAAAAAAGTCTTCCTGAACAACTGTTATCTGAACCCTGTAATTCCCCTTTTCCGAAGATTCTATGCACTTTGAATTATTATTTTTTCCTAATTTCTACTTGCGGTGACAGGGTTAAGTGTTTTAGCACTTTTTTTTATTTGATTTTATGATATTAACTATATTCACTTTTAATGCACATATCATCAGAAAATCCATGGTTTAATGATTTGCTCTTAGTTGTTCATTTTCCTTATAAATTTATTGTGTAATAATTCATAAATTGTGATCCTTGTTTCTCATCTTAAACTGGTATTGTAGATGGGCCTCCCATCTGATCGAGAACAATATATTCATAGACTTGGTAGAACCGGCCGCAAAGGAAAAGAGGGGAAGGGCCTATTGTTGCTTGCACCATGGGAGGAATACTTCTTATCAATTATCAAGGACTTGCCCATCACAAAGGCTTTGGTGCCCATGGTCGATCCAGATACTAAGAAGCAAGTGAGTAGCTCAATCATGTTGTAAAAAACACTGGGGCGCCTTGGCACCTAGGCCTAGGCTGGCGACCAGCAAGGCGTCCCAAACACACATGCAATGTATATGCGCTTCAAATGCATGTCATATTTATCTAGCATTTATGAATATTTATGCATTTATACGTGTTCTAACCAAGTGTATGTGCAAATATATGCACCTGAATGCGGCATACTGAAACACATTGAAATTATTGAATAATTTGAATCACATTTGACATTTTGCAGTTGTGATATATCAGTATTCACTCAGTAATGTATGCATTAAAACTAAGTTTACTAACACCTACAAGGAATGTTTTCCAGTTTTATGGGATAATTTATTAATGCTTTTTGTTGATTAGTTCTTCCCATGTTTTGTAGATTTATGGGAAAGTATAGTATAATCCTATGGAACATTGTGGATCTTTGTGTTAAAGCATTAGACAAAGATGATTAGCTTTCACCCCTCCTGCCTTTTTCTATTTTTGTCTCTCCCAAGTCTGCAGCTAAACAATCCCTATCTTGCTCCATTGGTTTTATCCTCCTCAGCTCCATTACCACCCCTCGCTCCTTGGAGAGAGGGTTGCCCCGTCCTTTGCCATTTCCTTTTGCCATCAAGAATCCATCTCTCACAAAACCACCCCTCAACAATTGTACTTTCTCCCTCTACCACATCTACTCCCACCTCAATAACTCATCCACAGCCAACCCGAACGCCTCTTTCATTCGTTCCCAACCTCCGTACCTGATTTAACCAAAACCTTCCAAACCTCCCACCACTTCTGACTCATCCTTAACCACCCCCCCAACCGACTCTCTAAATCGCCTTCAAGCTACACAACCCACAAGAATTACTCAAAATCATCCTTGCTGCCCCCTCTATATCGAAACTACACCCACCTCACAAAACCCAAAACAACGCACAAACCCTACCTCTCCTAAATAACCACTCAAACGCTACATCTTCAAAACATTCAAAACATTATGTTACCCCAAAACAACCACACAAGCCTTTACTCTTCAAAACATTTTGTTACCCCTCCTAATATCACACATAATGTGCTCCATTTATATTTTTAGTGCCAAAACTCTCGAGTGCACCCGATGCACAACCAAACTCTTATGCTCAACCCAATGTATACCTTCTGTTCTCTTTCTTTCTTCCCTCTCCACTTTCCCGTCTTTATCTCCCTACCCATCAAGTTTTTTGGATCTGGAGCTGCTCTATTTTTTGTATTTCATCACCCTATGTATTGACCATATATTATAGAAATGTCGAGCACCCGACCTATAGGATGCCAATTTCACCCCAAAGATGAATTAGGAATTCAGAAAAACAACCACAAATTGTAGTTGAATAAATGAGTAAAAGATATAATACATCCATAAAGTCCTCAAATATCGAACTAAAATGCAAGACCGCAACCATAAGTCCATAATTCATGGACTCTAAGCTCCAAACACAATCCAAAATCCAAACCACAAATGTAGGGAAGCCATTAAAGTAAAACGATACAAAAATAATTTAAGAAGAATTTTGTCTTTAGTTCAATCCTCTTTGGAATCATTGGCTTCGCGAGCACCTCCATCTGAGTCAAGGCATTCATCATCCAAATCATTTCCCTCTTCAACATGATGCCCCTCAGTTTTTTCCGAATCAGCCTCCAACTCTATCTCCCTGCCGCTCCTCTATGAACCAAGAGTAGTGGTGTTGTTGATCTAGCGGTCCTTCTAGGATCGGAAGCATCCCCTTGAAGCCTCCTCAACCATGCACCAAATCAAAACTTTACCATGGAGGACTCCATCCCTAGGTTCTTCAACCAACCACTCACCAGCATCATTCATGTCCCCGATGCAACCAGATCCTTCTAGTCGTGTTCATTGAAACACTCTTTTAGCCTTTGATTTGTTCTTTACGAAGATTAAACCGTTGAGCCTCTTTGCTCAGGCTTTGTCCTTTTCTTTGTATGTACCAATGGGAAAATGCATGAGCTCAAATTTAGAGAGCTAGAGTTACAAATATTAAATCATAAATTATGTATGGACACCTTTTTGTCCCTTTTATTACAAGATGGGGAGTATTTTCCCGAATATTACGCGGACCACCCCATCCAACTTAAATTTTTTCTAGAAATGTCCCACCTGTCCTTTATTAATAACACCGGACATGAGGATTTGCCACACGTTTCCCTATTTTTGTTTCTTTCGTCACCTGTCTGGGGTAAGTATCATTTGACATATGTGTCATTTGGGTAATACATGCACTGTCCGGCAAATGTAAAGACAAACATGTTTATGTAAGCTAGCTCCATCTATTTTGCTGGACAACGTAGTTTGCCTCCACCTCTGGTTTTTATTCTGTATCTCATAATAATCTCCAACCCACATGTCCCCACTTTCTCACTCTATTTCTCCCACATGAATGATCCCTTCCCAAATCAATACACAGGATGATTCGACCCTGTCTTGCACCCCATTTCTACTTGCACTGCCATACCAACAACAACTCCTTCCTCTTCTTTTTCTCCCTATTTCTCCAATTTCCTCTCTCTAGATTACATAAAACCAAGCTCAGCTCCTTGAAGAGAAGCCGTGCCCCTCTTGAGCTTGAGTTCTGCAAGGCCAAATGACCAAGAAAATTACAAGGAGGAGGGGTTTTATGTGTGGAGATGATGAAGGGAATTACAGTGGCCCTTCACATAGGGCTTCCAAGCCATAGTAGGGAGGACAAAGGGAAATTCAAAAGGAGAGCAGCCACTCAAAATGGTTTCCAATGAATATGAACCATCCATGTAGATATTAGAACTAGACGAAACACACCAATATGTTTCTTGGTTTGCCTGGAGCTCCATGAGTGTGAACCATCTGCTCCATCAACATTATTTGAAACTTATTAAAGTAACCCTCTTGCTACGAGACTTTTATAGCGCAGTGATGTAGTGTTAACAATTTGTTCTGGGTAAGGGGGAAACATGACCGAAAAGCAATATATTTTGTTTACAGATGAAAGAGAAAGCAAGATGGTCTTTACATGTGAGAGAAAGTTGGGATAGGTACATAGTGTTTATGAGAGCGAGGGGGTGGGGGAAAGAGACATGGGACTTGTGATAACATTTGAAAGAGGAAGAACGACTGATTGGATATGAAATAGTATTGACTATTGAGAGAGTGGTGACTTGTTGAAAGCTGCCTTGTAAAAGTGGTGCCAAGGAAAGTGATAGTGGATACAAAGACTAGAGCAAATTTCCAAGCCAAAAAACAAGGCAAAATGAGCACTTTCAACAAGCTACTTGCTAAAAACCAAGCTACGTGAATAAGTTACAATCGTTTAAATAACAATTACAGCTATTTCTAGCCTTGTATAACCACTGCAAATAAACTCAAATACCAACCCCTTATGGGGCAATTAAATATAAAGCAAGACTAGCTTATGAATTACACTTCCATAGCATAAATTACATAACTATGTCGCAAAGCTTAAATACATCATGCAACTAATCTAAACAAAATTCTAAAGAATAAAATCAACTAAACAGGAAATTAGAATGCCAAATTAAAATAGGGAAGTCATTTTTCGAACCCCTTGTGCCGGGGCCACGCATTCAGGCCCTATAAGGACTTAATTTTGTTCCTTCCCTATGTACAATAGTGGTTCAATTTCACAAGAGTGTCTAATCCAGATGGGAAACAATTACACACAGTAAAATCACTTCTTAAGATCTCAACACACTGGCATTATCATCTAACACAAAATGCAAAATGTTTAAATCGAATCGGATAAAGAACAAGAGAGTTATAGCCAAACTACACACGGTGGTCCCTCGGTCACCAAAACAGTCTTCTAGGGAAAGATTATGAACCTCCATAGGTAAAAACGTGATGAAAAAGTTTTGGAAATTGAGTGCCACTCTGAGACTCAATTATTTGATGGATTTGAAACAAAGCAATCAATGGATACTATGCATGATCGTGGATTCTCATGTATAGGCTATAACCCATGAAGGACCTCACTGTGAATAAGCATGATGAAAAAGATGATCAAATGGGGATTCTAAGATCAATGAAACTTTTCTAAATTCAAAACTCTAGCAACTATAGATGCCAAGAATATGATATTATGAGAAAAGAGAATTCAATGGAGTTTACCTTGATAAATGCACACTATGGACTTACGCATAAGAAAACAGGACCACCATCAAGATCACCATTAATGGAACTCTAAAATCTTTCTCTACAATTTTCTCTCACAAAACCTTAGAAGAAGGAGGGAAGCACCAATTTTCCAAAATGGCTCAAGAGTTGAGATAGTTAAGGTTTGAGATCTCATGATGTGCTTTTATAACATGGGTGTAACTTTGGACTCAATCAACACCCTTGATGCATTAATCCGAAGGCACATGAGAGGCTAATGTACCTAGCCACCCATCCCCATCCAACTACTAGGATGAAGGGATGGGATTTCACACCATTATCACTCACCCTAACCCTAAGTTATGCCACTTTACCATTTTATCTTTGGCCCATGTTTTGGTTCCAATTGTACTCAATATGGCCTTATAAAAATACCCTTTAGTTTTTTTAATAATGTATTAGAGTAGATAACCACAAAGGCTAAAGGGCAAAGAAGTAATTGGCAAAGCTCACACATGTAGAGATATTCTACTTTATCAAAA